TAGTCAGAATGACTAATACGTGGTTCAGTTAAATCTTTCTGAATTGATACCAGCAGCAATTGGAATTCATACTAGTCAGAAGTGAATGGTTAATATCTGAACCACAGATCACCATTGAGTTCAACAGGGGAAAAGGAAATGTGTTACAGTAATGAAGGAATAGTTGCTTTTCTCTATACCAGCAACAGTATACCTATTAGGCTGCGTATACGTTGCAAGTCCTAATGCAGAGATCCAATCTTTTGACCATATCAGATTTTTTGGGCCCGCTTTTTTACATTCATTGCAAAGCAACTTTACAGAAAATAAAGTTTCTACAATATATTTAGTAGTAGCTTATCAGTGGTGACTGTTAGTTCTGTATGTTGTTTATATATATATATATATATATATATTAATAATAGTAATTTATTACTTATTTATTTTTTAATATTTAGATTTTCAAGATTAAGTCTACATTTTAGGATTGTAGGATTAATAAATAATACTTAATTATTTATTCTTAATAATAATAAATGTTGTTATTATTCATAAATAATTTTATTGTTAGTATTATTTATGAATGATGCATTAAAATGTTGACTAAATCTAAATCTTAATGATAATACTAATAATTTATTAATTTATAAGTTAGTTATATCATAATTATTATTATTTGTAAATGTTACATCAACATGTAGACTAAAAAAATACATCTTAAAGATACATTTTATTTTTTATTTAATACGATACCAATAAGTTCTTCTGTAGTTAAAATATTTTATTGTAATTCAGTATTAATCACATTTTTATATTCAGCGCCTTATAGTTAAGGACTGTCAATCTGGCTGATAATATGAATACGACCCCCAATCTCCCTCCTCTTCCTCCTCCTCCTCCCCCGCCTCTTCCTCTCCTCGTCCCCGCCTCCATATTAATGAAATATATTGGACGATCAGGGCTCCACCGGCACGGGCTTTGTCATGCGCTTCTGCTACCGCTACCGCTGCTGTTCAAACCGGACGCGAAAGTGAGTGCTAGCTCCGGTTGTTCTATTGCTTTAAAACAGACATTCTCCACCAAGAGAGAGATTTACACCGGATTCGTTGGTGCACAACGCGGATATAGTTGAAAGTTGGCGTTTTGGTGAGTTCCTCTGGTATATTTCCGAGGCTTTTGTCTCTGATGTCTGTTGCTTTGTTTTTGTGCCTTGTGCATTTAGGTCACATGAGTTTAATTTGAGTGTAATTTTGTAAAGGTTTTCATTCCTGTTGCTTTCATTTCTTCTTGATGTAGTGGACTAACACTCCACTTTTATTTCTCTATTTGTGAAAAGCATTCATTGAGCTGAAAGACTGTGGCAAGCCATTTTAATATGTATTCTTTTATCTTTTATATTATTGATCAAAATCAATAATAATCTTTGTTACTAGTTGTTTTTTTTAATTACAAGTAAAGCAATTGTGACTAGTGTTTTTTTTTTCTTTTTCAATTTCACTAGTAATTGTTCATTGGATTCTAGTACTTATTCCAGTAGCAATTGTTTAATATCTGTTTAATAGTCATTCATATTTATTCGTTGCATGCTAGAACACACTACTTGCAAGGTTGTTTGTGTGTGTGTCTTTGGTATGCAGTGACTAGTCAGAATGACTAATACGTGGTTCAGTTAAATCTTTCTGAATTGATACCAGCAGCAATTGGAATTCATACTAGTCAGAAGTGAATGGTTAATATCTGAACCACAGATCACCATTGAGTTCAACAGGGGAAAAGGAAATGTGTTACAGTAATGAAGGAATAGTTACTTTTCTCTATACCAGCAACAGTATACCTATTAGGCTGCGTATACGTTGCAAGTCCTAATGCAGAGATCCAATCTTTTGACCATATCAGATTTTTTGGGCCCGCTTTTTTACATTCACTTTAGACACAACTGAATTCCGAAATGAAATAAAGTAGCGCTGTAAGATTATATTTATTTGAATGAATTAACGAGAGAGAGAGAGTATGCACGAGTGGGAGAAGTTGAAAACCAGCTCCTGAATGTTGCGTATTAGTAATCAAAAATATGATACTAGTAACACAAAAATATATAATATTAAATGTTAATTTGGCTTGCCACAAAAAGAGTCCTTAAGAATCAGGTAAATTAGATTTTTATATATGATCAAATGTTTACCATTGTCAGTCATAAAGTGATGTATTAATTTTACTAAAAGATTTGTCAAATTCTTCAAAAATGTTTTATGCCATGCTGAATTCACATCTGAAGTTTGTTTTAGCAAGAAAATAAATATGCATCAGGTAGAGTAATTCAGTAATCGATAAGCTTTAACTAATTTCCAGCTGAATAGAAAAATCCTGCTGACTAGTAAAAGTAAAAGCTCAGATGATTATTTTTGTACAGAAACCACAAAAATATTTGAAAGCGTTTGTTGAACCACTGTAGCTGTTTTGACTTCGGTTCTTTAACAGATTACATTGTTTCATTAAATTGCCTGGGGCTCAGGGAACCCTATATCCCCTTTTACCACACACACGCATATGCATGGACACAGACACACACTCTTTTTCGGTGTTACTCCCCCACAACATGTGGTTCTAGTTCCTGCTGAGTTGAAGCTGTAGACAGATTGCCCTGGCGTTCGGGTCTGGTGTGGGGCGAAATGTAAATATTGTGGAAGAGATGGAGTAATTAGACTGGTTTTGCCCAGACACCTTCGTTCCACATCGGTCGCAACCTCTCCCATGACCAGAGGCCCCCAGGTCCTGCACTGAGCTGAAGGGTGTGTGTCTGTGCACTGGGAGTCAACCTAGGGGTCACTGGTTTGCCATTCAGCCAGTGAGAAACTGGTTTGAAATACGCTTCACCTTTACACACAGACCAATTAGGGTGGATAAAGTTTGCTTGTACATTGTCCGTGACAGAGCTTCTGAAAATCTTTGCTTCTGTTTTGCATGCCTATTATGCATATGTGAGCTTAATAAGCTTGATTCCTCACGTGCCCTCTTATATTAAAAAAAAATTTGAATGAGAATCGCCCTCTTTCAAATGAAAGAAAACACTTGTCCATTCCTCACACGCTTTTTCTCTTGTCCTCATTAAACGTATGCGTCTCGGGCTTAATTTCTTTTCCTATTCCCCTCTCGAGGCCCAGGAGAGCAGCTGCACGACTCTGTGAAAGCTCCCAGATGTACTTAGCAAAGGCGACTTTTGCTGACCGCCCGTCAGACGCCCTGTAATATGAGAAGTTTATCTGATCTTAGAGATGGCCCATACAGAGGCAATAATAGGAGAATTTGGTGCCATTGGCCTGAAGAAGGTGTGTATGTGTTGGAGATTTCACTTCAGTGTTGTTTGAAATGCAAAACGCATCGATTTGTGCTATTTTACACCTTCATTGATGGATTTGTTGATGCTGAACTGCAGATATTTAATATTATGAGTTTAAGGAGAGCACTGTCTATTGTCTTTTTTCCTTTCTTTTTTGCAGAGCTTTTTCTTGTACATATGCTTGGCAAATCAAATTGAAGAGAACAAATTTTCTTTTTATTATATTATTTAGTATATTACACTTGTGTTCTTTTAACATTCATGTATTACCAGAAAATGCTTTTAAAGAAAATATAATGTGCTTTTAATGACGTAGGGCGCTTCAAATGATAACCATACGGTGCTCTTTTAAAATGAGACTATGAAGTAGGCACTGCATTTTAAACCAGCAACAAAATGAATAATACATTAACTTGCCTGCTTAGTAATATTCATAGAAAATTGTCTGTCGCTCTGTGCAGGATAAAATTGATTTAGAAATAAACTGTGGAGATGCAGTTCTAGCTGTGAATTCCTTTCATAGCACTTACATACCTGTCAAATCTCGTCTCGCAGCTTGATAATGCACTCATCTAGGTGGAGAAGGGGGTTAGTCTTTCTTCCTAATGAGGATTACCTGTTGGCCTCATAAAAGAGGCCTTTGACCGGAGAGCCGTTGGGGGGAGGCCTGCAAAACAATAGGGTGCTGAAAAGCACATGCCTCCTGTAGGGCACAATGGCCAGCTGAAACTCCGTCTTGAAGAGGATCCCTAGACAACTCAGTTTTAGCGCTGCCCGTTTCTAAACAGCCGCTTTCAGGGCTGTAATGTGACCCTTCTAATATGCAAAATCTAAAATGGCCTCTGAGGAAGAGAATTCAGCAGTGTATGATGAGCCTTTAAGTGGTCAAATTCAAAAGGAAAGGATCAAAGTTTGTGGCTCGACTTTGTTTGATCCACTCAATCCAGTCTGCATGAGAATCAATTTGACTTTTTGTTGTATACAAGTCACACGTTTTCCCATTTTTATTAAAAAAAAAAATAAAATTTCGAAATGTTTTTTTTGTTTATTATTTGTAATATGAGACCCAGATGGGTGAAATTAATGCAGTAAGATTTAATCATTTAATGTTGAATGTCAATATAAATAATTTTATTTAACTTGCGGATATTGCACATATGGCAATAGGGCTCAATAAAACAATGGTATATAATCATCTTGTAGGTTCTAATACAATGTAGTAACAAGTTGAATGCTACTAGTGATGAATTACCGGTTGATTTAATAGTACGAAACCAGACCCGTGATCAAAATCCTTTCTCTTACAAAAAAGAATGGTGGGCCTATGGTGCAGTGATGGTATCTTTTATACTTGTGTGTTTATATATATATATATATATATATATATATATATATATCATGGTACAGTATGATTAGGAAATTCATATACCATTATATTTACATTATACTCAAAAGCACTTTCATGGAACTACCATAAAACATGTCTAAAGAAATGCAGTAATACCATGGAAGTTTTGTTTGTAATCATGTTAATTGATTTATATAAATAATTTTAACAGGTAAATCAGCTTAATATATATTAATTAGCTTAGTATTATTTGGGTTTTCATGTTTTTGTAATCATCATATAATATTATGATACTTAAAATAACCTTTTTCATTTTTTTCCCTCCCCCAACTTCAGTCATTTTCCCAAAGACTGTTATTCCGGCACTGGGCCAGTCCAGTCAGTTTTGGCGCCCCATGCAGTCCCCGTATCACCTGCCGCACCCCCTACCCCCTCTGCCAGTGCGCAAGGGGGTACGAGGTAGGAGACCCAAGAGCCAGACCATCGCCATGCTAAAAGCAGCAGCCGAGGCAGCAGCAGCAGCAGCCGGCACGTCACCGAATGGCCAAACGCAGTCCAATGCAGCCAAGAGTCCTATGAGCTCACCACTCACACCCAAACCATATAAAAAGCGAGGACCCAAACCCGGCAGCAAGGTATAACTGCTTTTTTGTGGTTTAATAGGTCAGTTAATAGGTTTAATTGGTTTGCTCATGTTGTTTCAAAGCTGTATGATTTTCTGTTTTCTGAAGATATTTTGCCGTTTCTTTTATTTTTTTTTGATTGAATCTGATGTCATTGGTAGCCAACATAATGGGATTTTAATGGTATTAAATGGCCCCAGTAACTGATCATTATACAGCTTTTGTTTGATATAGGGTGGGTCGTATGTCATGAGCAATTATCCATGTTAAACATGAACACTTCTACTATAATTCTTCCCCATGAAAGGTACATTAAACATGCTGGATTCACTTAGTTTCAGACAAGGGTCTGTCGTAATGAAGATAAGGCATCTGTAGTTTTTTGCCATTATTTTGAGAGTCAGAAGGTGGGCAAACAAAATGGGGTTGTTTAGTGAGAGTAAGTATTGTTGTTTTAGCTCTCACTCTGTCTACCGCCTTTTACAGAGGAAACAAAAGGTTCCTCATTCACTTTCAAGCCCCACGTTGTCGTCCTCGGTGTCAGACGGGAGACTGTCTAGTCTGCAGACAACAAGAGACTCAGGAGTTGTGTCTACAGGTAGGCTTTTATCTTCCTGCCTTTATTTTCTACTATACATGGACCATGTACTCCTTAGTATTCTGATAGTTTTGCACTGTTGTACGCTTCATCTGACTATCCACCCTCTCCTCTTCTAGTTTGTGTGTATGTGAACAAACATGGAGACCCAGGGCCGCACCTGGACCGTAAACTGTTGTTGCAACTGCCTGATCATTTCGGGCCGGGTCCCGTGAACACGGTTCTCCAGCATGCGGTCCAAGCCTGCGTGGACTGTGCGTTTCACCCCAAAGCTCTGTTCAGCTTCCTGCACTCTCAGTCTGACGGCGGGGAAATCATCAGAGGTCAGTTTGGATCTGCTTTAAGAGTGTGATCTGGGTTTAATTTAAGAGTGATTCTTTGATTAGGAGAACATTTCTGCCAGGAAGGAAGAATGCTTTTAAATGACAAATGTTTATCATATATCATATCATATCAGTGCTTAAAAATATTTAACGCAGGATCGGAGCTAGGGTTGGCCACCCCAATCACAACTGCTGCCTCTGGCTCTTGTTTTATTTGTTTTATTTATTAATTTTTTTTCTTGACAAGAATTGCATTTATATAGATGCAGAATGTCTTTACGACCACATCAGGGAGACTTTTCAGATGCAAACTCCAGCTTAGCCTCAGCGCCAGGCGCTAGTCAATCGAGCACGGAAAAGGTACTGGTGACGAGGGAGCTTCAGAAGAACAATAGTGAACTGTGGTCAGATTAGATATTATCAGGCCATATGTTAGTAAAAATAAATTTTCCTGTCCTGTCAGCCGTTATATTGTGCTCGCAGCATGTGCTCTTCAATTGTACATACACACAACTGTGCGGGCTGTGTATCATTTCATATTAAAGGGCAAAAGAAACTACGAGCATGTTAAGTCATGAAGTTACCAAAAAGGCAATTAAAGCTGCCTTAAATCTGTGCATGCATGCAAGTATTTGTTAGTCACATTTAAGAACATGTCTCTGAAATCCAGTGGTTTTCAAAACTGTCCTGGAGCAGCCCAGCACCTTCTCCCTCATCTAACACACCCGATTCAGCTCATCAGCTCATTAGTAGAGACTTTAAGACCTGAAGTGGGTTAGAAAAGGTAGAGTTATGAGAAAATACGATGCGTGTCAGATCCGTGTCATGTTCATATGACATTTATTATAATGGGACAATTATGACATTTATTAAAAAAAAAAATCTATTTCATAGCGGCATCAGTAGTATTGGTATCAGTGATATTCGCCTTCAGTCATAAAGATGCCATTAAACAAACATAAAAAATATACTGTCTTGATGTTGTTTCTACATTAATTTAAAGACTAAATGTGAAATTATTGCAATATAAAAGTATATTTAAAAACTTTAATGTTAGGTGGGATTAATCACGATGAATTTCATTAAAAATGTGCGATTAATTAGTAAAAAATTTATTGATTGACATCACTAATGTTATTAATAATGTTAATATATTATTTTAATGTCAATTTATTACATATGGTAAAATAGTACAAGTAAATTAATAATTAATATATAATAAATTATACATTTTATATATATAATAAATGTATATATGTGTGTGTGTGTGTGTGTATCTTTTATAAAAAAAGTTATTTTATTCAGAATAAATATTATATTTCATTTTTTGAAAAGCACATGCCTCCTGTAGGGTACAATGGCCAGCTGAAACTCCATCTTGAAGAGGATCCCTAGACAACTCAGTTTTTGCGCTGCCCATTTCAGGGCTGTTTAGAAATAAAATAAAAGTTAATTTATTGCTAGTTAACTTGTTATTTTTGGATTCTCCGAAAACTGAAAAATGCCATTACTATCACTCACAATATAAAAAAAAATCCCCATCACGCATTATATTACCAAAATCTACTCGAAGGTTGATTGAGGCCATGACATGTGATGCATGTTCTAACAAATATGAAACGTAGTTCATTTTTCAAAATGTCAGGGAGTTAAAAGGAAGAATGATCCATAATCGAAAGCATTTTGAGAGCTGAATGGCACATTGCTGTAAGACATGAGCTCCATTTGAATTAGTGTAGTTGTATGTTATTTTAAGGACGATGAATTTCATTAAAAATGTGCGATTAATTAGTAAAAAATTTATTGATTGACATCACTAATGTTATTAATAATGTTAATATATTATTTTAATGTCAATTTATTACATACTTATGGTAAAATAGTACAAGTAAATTAATAATTAATATATAATAAATTATACATTTTATATATATAATAAATGTATATATGTGTGTGTGTATCTTATTTAAAAAAAAAAAGTTATTTTATTCAGAATAAATATTATATTTCATTTTTTGAAAAGCACATGCCTCCTGTAGGGTACAATGGCCAGCTGAAACTCCATCTTGAAGAGGATCCCTAGACAACTCAGTTTTTGCGCTGCCCATTTCAGGGCTGTTTAGAAATAAAATAAAAGTTAATTTATTGCTAGTTAACTTGTTATTTTTGGATTCTCCGAAAACTGAAAAATGCCATTACTATCACTCACAATATAAAAAAAAATCCCCATCACGCATTATATTACCAAAATCTACTCGAAGGTTGATTGAGGCCATGACATGTGATGCATGTTTTAACAAATATGAAACGTAGTTCATTTTTCAAAATGTCAGGGAGTTAAAAGGAAGAATGATCCATAATCGAAAGCATTTTGAGAGCTGAATGGCACATTGCTGTAAGACATGAGCTCCATTTGAATTAGTGTAGTTGTATGTTATTTTAAGGCTGTCAACATGTGTGTGCTTAACAATAAAGGGAGAAGTGAGAGCATGGGTGTGTGGTTGACCTGAAAAGAGAAAAGGGTGTGCATATGTTTAAAGAGAAGCGTGTGTGTGTGCACAGCTGATGTTATCAGACTGCGAGTAATTAGGGATGACATCTGTGTGTAACCTGGTTCTGAGCATTTGATTGGGGTGTCCCCATGGGAAGTGTGCGTATGTGTATGCCTGTCTATATTTGTGTGTGTGTGCAGGGGGTGGGGCCCACGCTAGGACTGTGGGGGCAATCTGCTGTGATGCCATGGCCCGTTAATCGGCACCCATTTTGCCAGATCAACCCCCCACCCCCTAGGTTTTTTTTTTTGGGTCTAGTCCAGGTGATGTTTAAGAGTAATACATTAATTTAAGTGTTTTTAATTTTGCACAAATTCTACTTTCATGCAGTTCGCTCTGAAGGAGGAATACACTACGTCAAGCTCCCCACTGCCTCCAGTGCATCATTCGTTCTGCGCTTTCTAGAAACTCTGTGTCACCACCTGCATTGTGATAACCTGTTCAGCAGCCAGCCGTTCAGTCCACTAACTACTAACACACACACGCCGTACGAAAGGAGCAAATCAGGTATGTGTGCATGTTTGTGTCGGTGTTGCTATTGCTATTGCTATCTGAAACTAAAACTATTAGAAATGTGCAGTAATTGAAACAAATCTAAAATTAAATTAAATGTAAAAAAGGTAACAAATTAGAAATGCAACTAAATGAAATAAGTTTCAATCAGCTGAAGTGCTAAAATTACTAAAACTAAACAGTTTTAAATATGAATAATGTTTACGTTAGAGCAAAATTTAATTAATTCATTAAAAGTAGTAGTATGAACAAAAAGTGAACTAAAGTGGACCAAAAAAAGATCCAAGTCCGCTTTAAAGTCCAGATACTGTGAATTCAGCTGTGTTCTGTAGGTCTTGACGTATGACCAGCAGTTTAAGATGAATGTTTGTTGTTGTTTGAATTGAAATGTTGTTCAAATAATTGCAGTATGATATATTTATATATTTTTTTATACACAATCACACAGCCCAAACTTGTGTGATTTCAGAAGTAAATCCTATGGTCTTCCAGAAGTGATCTATATCTGCTCTTTTCTTCTGTTGCAGTGAAAGAGGAGACGTCAGAGGCTTTGTCTGTAGCACGAGGTACGAGACGTTTCAACAGAGATTCCACTACCTACACCGCTGCCCTGTCACCGAAACTACAGAGAACAGAAGCTTTGCCCTTAGACGGTACGACCTGTTCAGCTGTTCCGAGTGTTTTTGCTTGTTAGTGTCTGAGAGTGAATGATATCGATTGAGTGTTTATGCCACAATAAATGCGGCATATATCCAAGCCAGTTCTGATGGGTTGAACTGAAAGTGAATGGAGGACAGGGTTTTCTTTAGGTTGAGTTGGACGCCTCTCTTCATTCTCTCATTAAGTGCACATAATAAAACTCTTAATAATGCTCACAGCCTCCTAATTAAGTCGTCTACATTGTAACTAATTAAGTGTCTGATTTTTATTAGGGTGTGAATGACCTGCCAATTTGGGTTATTTTTCTGCTGCGGTTATAATTTAACAGACATAAGTGCTGTGTGGTCAGCTCTCATTAAATGTCTTGTAGATCAAGCTCATTAAAAAAAGAAAAAAAAAGTATTCTTAGCAGCATTATAAAACTGATCTGTCGTGTTTGCACATGTCTATTGGAAGACCATTATAAACTCTGAGACATGTTACTAGTTCCATCAGATTTATATTCATTCTGAACACAGGAATCCTGCATTTATTTTAGTGGGGGTTTATGTGTTCGTTAAATACTGTAGGTGTGTATACTTGTAGTCTCTAGCGTGTAACTAAAAACTTCTATAAACCTTTGTTTATACACACAACTAGCTTTTCTTTATTATTGCTATTTTATGCAATTTAAAGTAAGCAGAACTATGAAATAGCACAGATGGGAGTATAGGATTTATGTAGTGACCAAAAATGTTCAAATAGCTTGTTACTAGTTCCATCAGATTTATATTCATTCTGAACACAGGAATCCTCCTGCATTTATTTTAGTGGGGGTTTATGTGTTCGTTAAATACTGTAGGTGTGTATACTTGTAGTCTCTAGCATGTAACTAAAAACTTCTATAAACCTTTGTTTATACACACAACTAGCTTTTCTTTATTATTGCTATTTTATACAATTTAAAGTAAGCAGAACTATGAAATAGCACAGATGGGAGTATAGGATTTATGTAGTGACCAAAAATGTTCAAATAGCTTATATTTTAGCTTTTTGAAAGCAGTGATAAGGAGCCACAACTTCATTAGGTGCATCCTGGGATGCTGTTTAAACAATAATCATCCATTCAATAATGCGAAGGAAATTTAGGTGCAATTTATATTTGTCAAAACTATGTATTAAAGTGATCAAAAGAGACAGTGGTAAGACTTTTACATTGTTACAAAAGATTTCTATTTCTAATAAAAGTTGTTCTTTTGAACTTTCTATTCATCAAAAAATCCTGAAAAATGTATCATGGTTTCCACATAAATACTGTTTTCAACACTGATGATAATAAGAAATGTTACTTGAACATCAAATCAGCACATTAGTATGATTTCTGAAGGATCTTGTGACACTGAAGATTGGAGTAATGGCTGCTGAAAATCAGCTTTGCATTATTTC